TGAATCATGGAACACTATATCTAAAACTAATGATGTAATGTATGGGGATTAACATAACAATAAAAAAATTTAAAAAAAAAGAATTAAGTCATATGAAAAGCTAGACTGTTTCGTTGCCAGAGTCACAATGAAGGCATAAATTTATGAATTAAAATGTATGTCAGCAACATAGTCCTAAATTTTATTCAGGGATGACTTTCTTCCCTTTTTTGAAAAAACAAAAACAGTCAAGCATGCTCTCAGCAGGCAGGTCTAAGTTTAAAATACCTCAATGCATTTGTACCCTTTCCATGATAGTCCATTAAGTGTTTGCCTCTTGGTTGTCCATCATTTACTTTGCTTCTGGTTGGGTCACTTAATGGCTCTGATCCTTAGCACCTGCAGGGTTATGGAATGACTTCGAGATAAACGGTGTGAAGGGCTTCGGCGATACCTGCCTATGATAAATCACAGTTATTATCACTGTTGCCATTTCCATTATTAATAATGCTTCTCTCTAGAGGTTGTGCTGGCTTTGTCTGCTCAGTCTGTCTCCCTCCTTACTTCTCCTGGTATTTGTGCCTCCCACTCCCTTCCTCTGAGGGATTCTTCCTAGTTTTGTGGCTGTCCGTCACAGTGCCCACCCATGCTGGCTATAAGGGTGGGCGAGGACTCACGGTGGTCCCGTTAGACACTTACCTGGAATTCCCAGATTGGAGGTGAAGCAAAGTTCTTCTTTTACTTTGAATTAAAAGCTCGAAAAATGTAACCCCAGAGCCGTCTAATGTCACATTTGGGCGGCACACCCGTAGAGGAGCCAGAGGGAATCTGAAGCAAAATCATGGGTGGCTAAGCTAAGGAAAAATATACCTGAGTACAGCTTGACCCTTATCCTTCCAGGTATAGTAATTACTAATGTCCCATTTATATTCAGCTTTCAGAAATTTGTAATTGAAAAACTTCTGACCGAATAGGTTATTCATTCATTCATTTATTCTTTCATGCATTTATTCATCAGATGTTTATTAGATGTCTACCACATGTTGGATTTAAGTGGAAATTTATATATCTGGTTCTTGATATATATATTTGGTTCTTGATATTTATAAGAAACTGAGTAGCTGGACAGGTTTCAGAGGAAAATTACAATTCTGGGTCTGTTTGAATTTTTGGAAGGTCTTAAGCATGAGGGATGGTTTATGGCTTTCTGAAGCAGGGCTGGGGGCCTTGGCTCAAAGTAGGACACTAACAGCCAGACTACCATATCCCTCATTCTGTAAAAATCTGAGTCCAAATGTAATTTTTATTATTTTTGAGAAAACAGAAAGTCCAGAAAAGTACAAATAAGAGAATAAAAACCACCCATAGACCAAATACCAGGAAGTAACCTCTGTGAAAATATCAGTATATCTATTTCCAGTAAGACCTTATTTTGTGAGTAAATTCATGGGTTTGTATATTGGAATTATTTTGATCCTTCAAAAATATTCTATTTTTTGGTCCTCTTCTGTCACAACTAAATTAGATTGCTGTTTAGGATACAATAAAAGATCTTCAACTGGATAATCAGAGCAGCATTTAGCTGTGCCTTCTCATCAGGGGCATAAGTTCTGCCTAAGTGACAAATGTCCACGGCCAACAGGTCATGTTCAGCAGGAGATAATCAGAAACTCTGCTTGTAGCTGCCGCTTGAGCAGCTAAGCATGAACTAGATGACACATGTGAGAAACTGGCCGTCCTATTAGACCAAAGAAGAGGCAGTGGAAACCTAAAACAGCTAAGTTTTGAGGCTCAATTAAACTCCAGCCTCTTCTTCCCACATTCAAAGAACATCCACTGATCCACTAGTTTCTTCATAAATGAGTTCCATCAGGAAGTGATCCATTACATCTCTCGTAGAATTTAAGGTCACCCAGTCCTGTCTCGATGTTTTGCTAAACTCCATGACTCAGAGGTGCCATGTCCAGAAGGATATAGGATTCTATCCCTGTAGGTAGTTTAGGAACTATTCTTGTGATCATATTTATAATATTCATTTCCTTCAAGAAATTATGGCTAAAATTCTGCCTGAATTATCACAAATCCTGAAGTGATGATATCTTAATTATTAGTTCTGAACCTCTTAGTTCTTATTTTTCACACTAATGAAATCTGTCATAAAATGGCTCTGGTAATGGTGAAATATCTTATTTCAGACTAACTGTCCTACCAACTACAATTATATATTCTAGACAAAATGTAAAGATTGCCTGTTCAAAGTCACTGAAGAAAGTCCAAAAGGAGGCAGAATCGAGAAGTTATTCAGCACTTAAAAGAAGCAATGATAATGGGTAAGACCCTCATTATTCAGTTTTTCCCTGGATGGGGTGGGGGGCACACTCCAATCCAGGGCATGGAGAATGGTCTCCAATAGAAAGCCCTGATCTTAGTAGCCTGAGTATTTGTGGACTACCACAGTAGCTGGACATTGAGAGAACTAATCTCAAAAAGGAGGGAATCAGAGTAATAGGAGCCCCCAAATCTGTGTATTAACTTCCCTCAAAATCTTAGTTAACCTCTGAACTGTATTTGTGCAGGATAAGAGTCTAAGAAACTCAGAAGGAGAGTGATAGCTGGAAAAGCTGAAACACCTGTGCATTGGTTTCAGTGGCCACTCACCATAGGGAACACAGAGTTTAGATTTCATGACCCACCCAATTAGAGGCATTGGGTAAATGTCCCAGGCTTCCATTAAAACTCCACAAGGGACATGCATTAGGACTTACTCTCAACCTCGAAAATATGCTAAATGAAAGAAGCCAGATGCAAAGAACTATATACCGTATGATTTATTTATTGCATGGTTAGAGAAAATAAATTTATAGAAACAGAAAGCAGATCAGTGGTTGCCTAGGGCTGAGGGTAGGGGTGGGGATTAACTGTAAACAGGCACAAGGCAGCTTTTTGAAGTGATGGAAATGTTCTAAAACTGGATTGTGGATAAATAAAATGTCATATATATATGAATTATTCATACATATATGGATAAACAAAATGTCATATATATATGTATATATGTATAGAAATTATTCACCTTTAAAAGGAAGGAAATTCTGACATGTGCTACAACATAGATGAACCTTGAGGACATTTTGCTAAGTGAAATAAACGAGTCACAAAAGGACAAATATTGTATGATTCCATTTATATGAGGTACCTAGAGCATCAAATACACAGAGACAAAAAGTAAAATGATGGTTTTCTGGGTCTGGGAGGAGAGAGGAATGGGGAATTATGGTTTGGCAGGTATAGAATTTCAGTTTTGCAAAATATAAAGGAGTTCTGGAGATGGATGGTGGAAATAATTGCCCAAAAATGTGAATGTACTTAATGCCACTGAACTGTACATGGTAACATAATTTACTATGAAAAATCATTGAATTATGCACTTAACAATAGATGGGTTTTATGGTATGGAAATTATACTTCAATTAAGCTATTAAATAGACCCTGAAGAAAGAAGTATCCTCAGACTAAGAGATTTTCCTTGGGACTAATGACAAAACTAAAATAAACCTACTCTAAGAAAGGCTAAAACCAAGATTTCCCAGCTCAAGGGGATCTTTAGGGTTAGGATTAGGGTTAGGATTAGGGTTAGGGTTAGAACAAAATCACACACTCTTCAGAGAAAGATAACAGAATTCAGGTTGTCTATAATGCACTACCACAATACCAACTATGCAATTAAAAATCACTAAATGTAGCTCATAATCAAGAGAAAAATTAGCCAATAGAAACAGGCTAATAGATGGTGTAGATGTTGGAATTAGCAGAAAGAGATTTTGAAATAACTGAAATGTTTAAAGCATCTATAGGAAAAGATTAGTAGGAGAGGTGAGGAGATAGGGAATTTTAGGAGATATACGGAATTTGTAGAAAACCTGAGAAAGAAAAGAACTAAATGGAAATATTGGAACTAAAAAATGCAATATTTGGAATAAAACATTCATTGGATGGCATTAAAAGATGTTTGGCCATAACAGGAAAAAGGATTAGTGAATTTGAAGATTGGTCAATAGAAGTCATCCAAACTGAGAAAAGACTTTTTAAAAATAAACAGAACCTGAATTGCCTGTCAAATAATATCAAGCAGTCTAATACACATGCAATAGGAGTCCCAGAAGGAAAGGAGAGAAAGAGTCAGGCAGAAAATTATACTTGAAGAAATAAGGACAAAAAATTTTCTAAATTTGGGGCGCCTCGGTGGCTCAGTCGGTTAAGCATCTGCCTTCAGCTCAGGTCATGATCCTGGGGTCCTGGGATCAAGCCCCACATCAGGCTCTCTGCTTGGTGGGAAGCCTGCTTCTCCCTCTCCCACTCCCCCTGCTTGTGTTTCTGCTCGTGTTCCTGCTCTCGCTATCTCTCTCTCTGTCAAATAAATAAAATCTTTTTAAAAACATTTCTAAATTTGATCTAAATCAGCAACCCACCAATCCAGGATACTCAGTGAAACCCAAGCAGGATAAAACAAATAAAATCACACCTGACAACATCATAAGGAAGCTTCTAAAAACGAAAGATGTAAAGAAAATTTTAAAAGCAACCACAGTTTAAAAAGATTCATCCCATAAAGGTAACAATAATAATTAGGGTTTACTTCTCATTAGAAAAAGTAGAATCCAGAAGACAATGGAACCACATCTTTAAAATGCTAAAAGGAAAAAAAAAAACAAAAAACCCTCTCAATCAAGCATTCCATATCTGGTAAAAACATCTTCTGAAGTGCAGGTGAAATAACCTACCTTCAAATAAAAAGCTGATAGAACGTGTTGTCAGCAGACCTCTGCTACAGGAAATGACAATGACAATTCCTCCAGCTGAAGGAAAATGGTACTAGATACAATTTGGATCTATCATTAGGAAAGAAGAGCACTGGCAATGGTAAATATCTTTAAAAAAGAATAGACTTTTTTTTTATTTCTTTTCTTACATTCTTTAAATGTCAATTCATGGTTTAAAGCAAAAGTGACAACAATGTATTGTGATTTATTTCATATTGAGAGGTTGAAAATATGAAAATAGTACAAAAGGTGAAAAAAGGTGTTAATGCAATTACACTATTGGGAGATTGTTGCACCATATGAAAAGTGGTATGTTTGCTCAAATTACAATGTGATAGTTAAGGATGCACACTATTATCCCCAAAGAATTCTTTATCATGGATTAGTTACTACTCCAATTTAATAATATTTCCACTAAAACTAAGAACCATCATGTGAAGATTACTTTAAAAGTTACTTTTAAAACTCACTGGAAAACATTATAAAGTTATAATAGGACGCAAACATTTCCAATAGAAAAAGAAGATTTTTCTCTGAGTATTCAAATATTTTCTAAGTCATTCTCTCTCACAGACTCAGAGAAGGTTCAGAATAAATCAAGGTGATGTATTTGATGGAAAGATTTAGACAAAAATACCACAATCTTTCAAATTTTATTATAATTTTTTCCTTATCCCAAGCCTTATAATGCAGAATAAATTTAAAATATCACTATTTTAAAATTCAGTATGCAGGTTTGGACTAGAGAGCAATACTCTCCACAGAGAAACTACCCTGAGAAACTGGTCATATTTTGTGGCTTTATAATAATAAAAATAGTAAATAATTATTGAATGTCCATCATAGGTGCCAAGGATAAGAGTTAAGTACAGAGTTGATGACCTCCCTTACCTTCAAGGAACTCTTCATCTAAAATAACACATAAATAATACAAATATAATACATAAAATACACAAATGACTAACATTCAAGACAGAATGCAAAAAAAAAAAAAATCCAATGAG